AGCTTACGAGGACACTGTTTCCACGGCTTTACGAGGAAATCTTTCCTCGTAAAGAAGCTAGGCCTTTACGAGGAAAATAGCCTTTACGATGAACGTCTTTCGACGAAACACGTTTCCTCGCTATTTCCTAGTAAAGGGCCCTTTACTAGGAAATAACGAGGAAAACCCGTCCTAGTAAAGGACGTGTTTTCTTGTAGTGTTTGCATATTTGTGTAACAAAACTTTCTACCAACGAAATTTTTTAATCTGAGATGTTTAGTAGTTTCAATAATTTATAATCATTTTTTAAAAAATGACTTATTTCAAAATTAAAATATTAACTTTTCAATATATGTTCAATTCAAATATCAAAATATAAGTATGTATTTTCATACGATGTATAGTTTAATTAAACGATATGAAATATATATATATATATATATATATATATACTAAAATTATTTCTTCATATGGTCTTATAATCATTATATTTTAATATAGAAAAAAATTTAATACCTTGATCCTAAAATTTTATGGGAGACTTTTAACAATTTTAGTAATTTATACTCATTTTTCAAAATTCAAAATACAACATACAGAAAAACAAATCTATAATTTTATTATATGATTAATGTAATTATGTAATTTATTTTAATAATAAAGAAATAAACAAAATGATAAAAAGTATATAGATTGTTATCAAATCTTTATTGTTTTAAATCATTAATTATCATATATATATTATAATCACATTTGGTAATTCTGTAGGTTTTATTTAAGGAAAGCATACGAAACAATAAATATTTGATATATGCGACCAACTATAGCCTACAAAATATTATATTGCTAGAGAGTATAACTTTTAGACTATACATTATATTACATGTTTTAGAATCCTTCTAAACTGGAATAGAAGACAAAGAGCTATGCCACATAGGGTTGGAGTTATTTTTAATTATTACAAACTTAAGGTTACAACTTTTTAAATGATTTTCTTTTAATATATAGGGGATGCAAACTCGATTATAATTGCAGAATTGAAAAATACAATATCTCAAGAAAGAGTAAAACTGCAAAAGATTGATTAATAACACCCATGAATCTTATATCGCAAGCATCTTGAGATACTGATTTTGGGTCAAAAAGTTTGAAATGGAATGTTTAGAATCAATAAAGTGTAAAAAAAACTATTTCATGTTCCTAGCTATCTATTTTCAAGCCTGTATTTGAGTAAACTTCTTTAATAACAATATTACAAAGAAAAGAGCGGGAAGAGATAATTAAACATTAGAGGAGAGAGACCTTCAACTAACTTTGAAAATGTAATATTTATAAAAATTTGAAAATGAAATACTTACAATCACTAAAATAGAAAAACTCTTTCATATTTCTGGTCATCTGTTGTCAAGCATGATTTGATAAAACTTCTCTCATAACAATGATACAAAGAAAAGAGTGAGAGAGAGATCATTGAGTGCAGGAGAGAGAAACCTTCAACTAACTACAATTATCAAAAAGAAGAAGAAAAAATCAGAGAGAATGGGGAATCAGTATCTCGAGAAGAAAAAGTCAATTCTATCAAAACAGAACACAAAATGTATTGGAGTATAATTCATGTTGTGGTTAACTTACGTCTTTGATAGTGTAATAATCTGGTTCAAAGCAAGCTATTGATCTATTAATTGAGTGTAGTGTAATAATCTGGTTCAAAACAAGCTATTGATCTATCAATTGAGTGAAATTACAGATAAGTCATCCCCACATGAATGAAAGATTTATTTTTAATTAAATAGCTAATTTTCTTGTTCTTTTCAAAAATCATATAAGTTTCGAAAGAAAAGTAGATGGCACGACACTTTTCTCAGCACAAGTTTTTTTTATTGCTCATAAAAATATAATAAACAAAAAAGTGGTAAAAAAGAATGTTATTGTATTAACTTATTTCATTTAACCGCAAGTAGGTATAGTGATGAAAATGTCAGCAACGAACATAAAATTTATTTAAATCAAGGTTTTTGCTTTGAAAAGCAAAATATATGCAAAAATTGAGCAAAATTTTGGTTTAATCATCCTTTCAACTTATTAGAAGAGATGCCTATTGCGGTAAATCAAACATGCCTAATTGATAGAATTGTAAACAATATGATGTTTTGGGATGATGAAATAGTAATATTATACTTAGGTTTTGGTTTAAATCCAACAAACTTACAATATGATATTTTAGGCCTAAATTAAAATCAAAATGATAGAGGCTGACAAGGGTTATAAAAGTACCTTACTAATTTACGTCGTCAGGCGATAACACTTTTGTTTTTGTTAGAAACAACTGAACAAATCAAATCTTTCTCAATTGATTAGATCTAACGAAAAATAATTCAAAAGACTTTTTGTTTTCTGAAATAACAATATAAACTCGCTTACAATTGCAGAATTGTAAAATTTCAAGAAAGAGTTAAACAACAAAAAAAATGATTAATAAGATCCATGAATCTTAGATCATTAGAGAGAGAGAGGAAAAAGTTTCAACAAATTAATTGTTTGACAACATATAATTATATATATATATATAACTAATTTTATTTTCTTTTTTTCTGAAGAAAATCTTGTTGCTGAATCTCTAACTATTTTTACGATATACCACTGACAAAAATGCTATAATATTTTCATATTTTGTATAATATATACTAATATACCTTCGTCCATATATACATAATACATATATATATACATATATCATATTTATTTTTCCTTAACTTCTTTTATTTTCTATCTTTTAATCCATTGTGTTTTATTTAGATATTTCACAACTATTAAGCTTATTTTCATATTGAAAACAGCCTTTTCTGCACACACAAAGTTCAAAATTCTTAAAACTAATGCATCAACATATTGTCTAAGCATAACATCAATCCACTATATTTATGGCTTTTTATACAGAAATGCGATTGGTTTAGAGTCGTCTATTTTATCGTATAATAATTTTATATTATTTTTTGTCAAAAATAATTTTATAATTCATAATGAAATGATAAATAACGTTAACAAAAGGGAAAATGACAGAAGAAAAGTTGTGTGTAATAGGAAGGAAGCGCGTGGATTTTTTTTCTCTCTCTGAAGGGTGATTTTCAACAACCCTCTTCTCTGCATTTTCCCAATTCCATTGATTGTTTTGGGGTCACCGACTCTTGTCGGTGGCTCTCCCTCTCTCTTTTAATTTCTTTTTCACTATAATTTCACAGTATTTCAGAAAGTGGTTGTGAGAGAAATATCAAAACAAAAGCATGGATTTTTGTTTCTATCGGAGTGATTCTTTGATGTATCTTAATTAGTGCAGTTTCTAAAAACTATATCAGATTTCTTTCGGCATCTTTTGTTGAGTATTTGTCAAACCTAACATTTATTGTTAGTTTTGTGTTAGTTTCTGGTGGTTATCATCATGTAATGACTATCCGATGTTTGAAACAAATCTTATCAGATTTGTTATGGAAACAACGTCCACCAAAGAAACCACCATGGACTCAAGATGCGGAAGATAATCTGAAAACCGGTGCAGAAACTTGTTTCATGTCATCCAAGGAGAAAATTTTCAAATTTTATATTTTGATACAATATATTTGGTATCAAAGTATACAAAAACTTTGGAGAAAACGACATGTAGTCTTTTTGTTGTATGGCGATATCCTTACAATCACTGAGAATTGGCATTTCCAATTATTATTTCTTATGGTTGAATCAATATATTGGATTTCAAACCAAAGAATATATATAGATATATATTATAATAATGCCAATGTAATACAACAAAGAGAATCAGTATTAAAGCGACAAAGATGCAAAGATTGCAAGAACTCCAAAATCTTCGAAGAAATAATCTTTTCAAAGTTTTTTCTTCAGATTTATTGTTTCGTAGTTATTTTTATTTATGTTATTTGTTGTTTTATTATGGTGTATGTATTTGTGCAATCTACCTACATTCTAATTAATAAATTTAAGTTGTTAAAAAAAAAAACGTTAACAAAAAAAGTTCTCTAAAACTAAACAGAACTTTTGTCCGACCAGTTGAGAATATAATAAATAGGCCCAATAAAAAGCCCACTCCTTAACCAACAAAGAGAGAGAGAGAGAGAGCGACAGAGATCGGCGCAATGGACTTTCAGCCACAACCTCCGCCGTCTTCTGACCCTTCTCCGTCGCCCTCTGACCGTCCACCAGGAATCACATCTCCGGAGACGCCATCAAACAATCAGAACAACGAGATTGAGGACATAATGGGATGCGTCACGGCTTTAGAAGCAGCATTGCTGCCATGTTTGCCAGCTAGAGAGCTTCAAGCCATCGACCGCTCTCCTCATCCTTCTCATCAAAGTCTGTACCTTTTCCTTATCTCTCGTTCTCTGTCTTCGAACCCATTCTTAAAGTCTCAGCCTTTGAGAAATAATTCAAAGTAATTGACTTGCTTTTAGTAAACTAATCCCAGTTCACCCTCTAGGATTTTGGTCTGTGCTGTTTCATACTGTTACTGTAGCTTGTTTAGTTTGGAGTTTTCTTTTCTGGTGATTGATAGTTTGGAAGTTGTCTGTTTCTTTCTTCTTGGTTTGGTTTGGTTTGTGCTATTGCATACTATTACTGTAACTTGTTGTTAGTTTGGAGTCTTCTTGTCTGGTGATTTATAGTTTGGAAGTTATCTGTTTATTTCTTCCTTGGTTTTGGTCTGTGCTGTTGTCTGTTTCTTTCTTCTTGGTTTGGTTTGTGCTGTTTCATACTATTACTGTAACTCGCTGTCAGATTGGGGTCTTCTTAGCTGTAAGAAAGGCAATGGATTAATCACCAGACATGAATCCATAGCCTTTCTTACACCTAAGAAGACTCCAAACTATTAATCACCAGACATGAATTTGAAAGTTGTCTGTTACTTTCTGCTAGAGAATATCAATCAGTTTAGTTCACTTGCTTAACTTAAGATCTCTACTTTAATAGATAACAACCCTAAGCAGGCTTAGGCTTACTGATGATGTGTTTTAATTTGTGGATTCGACTAAGAGATCATACTGTAACTTGCATAATATTACTGTAACTTGCTGTTGTTTTTGGAGTCTTCTTGTGTGTAAGAAAGGCAATGGCTTCTTGTCTGGTGATTGATATGTGGAAGTTGTCTGTTTCTTTCTTCTTGGTTTGGTCTGTGTTGTTTCATACTATTACTGTAACTCGCTGTTAGTTTGGAGTCTTCTTAGGTGTAAGAAAGGCAATGGATTCATGTCTGGTGATTAATAGTTTGAAAGTTGTCTTGCTTAACTTATGATCTTTACTTTAATAGATAACAACCCTAAGCAGGCTTTACTGATGATGTGTTTTAGTTTGTGGATTCGACTAAGAGAAACAGCCAGCTAATGCATTTTCTTCATCTCGATGTAGTTGATGTTGAGCGTCATGCTAGAGATTTCATGGAAGCTGCTAAAAAGCTTCAGCTTTATTTCATGGGATTGAAGCGAGAAGATCACGCGCCCACAAGAGCTGAAAGTCTTAGGAAGGTTAGTTTCTAAGAACACACCAATGTGGGAGACACTCCTAACGCATTTGTCTTATCAGTTTGTGGTCTGATTCTTAACAGGAGATTGCAGTCATGGAGGAAGAGCTTAAGACAAAAGAGGAGCTTATAAAGAAGCACTCAAGGCTTATCCAAGAATCACAGAAGCTAGTGAAAGATCAGATTGAGAAACACAGAGTGGAGCTTGAGAAAGTCTAACACATCAAGCAAAGTCTGTTTGTTTCAGTAGTATATAGATCAAACTCTCCTAGTCATTTATTTCATCCATTTATGTCTTATTTTACATTGCAAAAGTAATGAAGACAGAGTGATTCCATCCCTTACAAAAAGTGCAGAAACACTTAAATTACTGTTTGTGGCTTTTTCCAAGTCTACATATACATTTACATGGAAACACGTGGAAAGAGAGTGTCTCTTGGTTTGTGTTGACTAACTTCACTCATATGTCCATATGAGGACCACTTGGGGTGGGTTGGCTCTCAAGTGGCATGTACTGTGCCATGATACCTCTTATCTCCGCATCCATGTAACTCTGCACAATTGTTATGTTACTCAATACATCTTATCTAGATGGTCAAATGTTCATTCATATGTGTACATTATGATAACGAGAGACATACCCTGATCCTGTATTTGTAGACGGCGTATCCGGCAAGACCTGCAACACCAACTCCGATGATAAGAATCCACAAAAAGCCCCAGCTCAGCTTTGTAGTTCCAACTTTGCTTGAACCTACACATTCAAAAGCATCAAGCCTGGATTAGTGACTCTGCATTAAGTATGGGCTTAAGACAAAAGGAAGATCTATTTTGTTTTCTACCAATGCAAGTGTCGTGTTCACGCATGTAGAGCAAACCATTCTTGCAGCTGCATTCATAACTTCCCCATGTGTTTTTACATTTACAGTCTGCGCACTGGCAAACCGTTTTTTCTTTGCACTCGTCCACATCTACCAAATTGAATCAAAAGAATATGGGTTAGTTCTATATGCAAGTAGACCGCATGAATATAGATATTACAAAAAAGTACCTTCACAGCTCTTTACTCCATCGCCCTTGAACCCAAGTGGGCATTTGCAATCACTTGAATGATCATCCTGAAAAATTCCATTTCAAGAACCAAAAAAGTTTTGCTATAGGTTCAGAAGATTACTGCTCAAGAATTTGACATTGGTATATAAGACAAAATACTTACTACGCAAGCAGAGTAAGTGTAGCTGCCTCGGGTTTCTCTCCAGCATCCTCCATTGTTGATACCACAATGCAAAGCTCCAGAGGCTGCCAAGAAAAGAAAAACAACGTTGAGAGTAGGCCTTACACACAGAATATGTAAAGCTACAGGGAGATGAACTAATCTACCTTTGCAGTGAGTGTAACCGTCTCCTGAAAACTTAACACCTTGAACAGTAGGGCACTCACACAATCTTCCCCTATATGTATCCTAAATGCCAATTCAGATCAAAAACAAAGAGTAATCAGTCTTAGTAGTAACAACAACACCAAAAACTTGGAAAGAACGTGATGGCAAAGGCCAAATGGTACCCTGCATGCAGTTATGTTGGAAGCTTTGTCTTGCCAGCACCCACCATTGTTTTCCAAACATTCATTAGTATTTAAATCTGCCAAAAAAAAAAACTTATCTCAAGGCAATGTCCTCACTCAATGTCACCAAAACTTTAAAAGAGATAAAATATCTGAGAATAAATTGTGAATGTCATGGAGATGGAGAATAAAACCTTCAGTTAGACATATAGCTGGTTCTGTTGACTCTTGAAAACCTGAACACATAGCTTTCAGCACTGCCCCTTTCTCCAATTTACCTAAGCTCATGAAAAAAATATTTGAGTTAGCAAAAAAAAAAAAGAGAGTTAGATGCTGTAGAAAGAGAATGTGTTCTCCAATACCTCTGTATTGTCTGTTGTTCACTACGAGAGTTGGGAGTATAGTCACGTCTCCACGTGAACCTTTGCCAATCTGAAATAGAGAATATATAACAAATGTAAAACAAGAGATCTAGTAGAGAAGAGAAAAGCCTGTTGGTTACAAAAAGACTAACCTGAGACTCCTGCTCTGCTTTAAGAATAGGGTTCTCCACATCTGCATCAGGGTCACCAATACACTTGTCCACCTTCTTGAGATCAATGTCTGAATGCACAATAACAGAAAGAGAATCCAGAATTAGTATCACAGGAGCAAAGACCACAGGTTCATGAAGTAATATACTCACCAAGGGACTTGATTATCTCGTCTGCACACTCCTTAGTATACTTCTTATCCTTCATTGGACACCTAATGGCGAAGTCAGTCACATAGTCCCACCAAACCCAAGGCTTACCAGTCTCATTCACCACTCTATAAACACAAGCCTGGCGCAGATTCTGAACAACAACATCCTTCCCATCATACCCTTTAGTAAAATCCTGCTCAGGATCAGGCGCACAGTACCTCCCACGGTTGATACACTGAGACTTACACTGTTTACTGAGCGTAAAAGCCTCAGGGCAGTACCAAGTGATGTAGTGTGGCGTGAACTGAGTGTGCCCTCCTTTCTCAAGAATCTGAGCAGCTCCTTTGAAGTTCTTGAGAAACTCAATCTGAGTATCACACTTTTGCCCACACTGGTCGTTGCTGTTAGTCCAGAGCTCGTATTCAACGCGCTCGTCCGGATGTGGAACAGACTCGGTCCAGTCCAGCTTCATGTTCACCATCTCGCCCTTGGAAAGAGCAGATTTTAAACTGTCTCCCAAGGACTTGGTGATGAGAGCAGAAGGAATGGTGATGTTTTGCAGATAGTCTGCATCTGATTTGTCTTCCTCAGGTGTGTCCATGGTAATCAATGGCTCAGCTTTGTTGTCAGCTACAAGAATCGCTGCTGCTCCAGCTTGTTGAGCTATCCATGCTTTCAAAGTGAAGAAACAGTCTGTGCTCACAATAAGAAAACACACATTCAGTTCCAAAAACTGAATCTTTATCCAAATACTATAACCAAAAAGTCCAAAACTAAACCTTTAAGATACTATAACCAAAATTGAATATTTTACTATAACTAAAAATTGAATAATTTTCACATACCATAAGAAAAAATTGCATCTTTTCCAAATACTATAGCCAGATATCAAAATTTTCTACATACTATAAGAAAAAAATGAATGCTGTCCAAATACTATAGTCAAAAATAGATTTTTCTACATACTATGAGCAAAATTGAATATTTTCCAAATACTATAGTCAAAAATAGATTTTGTTCCATATATTATAAGCAAAATAGAATATTGTATACATACTATAAACAAAAACTGAATCTTTTCCACATAGTGTAAGCAAAAATGGACTCTTTTTTAAATAATATAACCAAAAATTGTTTTTTTTCAAATACTATAACCAAAAACTGAATCTTTTCCACATACTATAAGCAAAAACTGAATCTTTTCACATACTATATACCAAATTTGCATCTTTTCCAAATACTTTAAGCAAAATTGAATATTGTCCACATACTATAAACAAAAGAATGAATCTTTTTCACATACTATAAGCAAAAATTGAAATTTTCCTAATATTATAACAAAAAATTGAATATTTTTTCACATTCTATAACCAAAAATTTAATCTTTTCTAAATACTAAAACCAAAAATTGAATCTTTTCTACATACTATAACCAAAAATTGAATCTTTTTTACATACTATAACCAAAAATTGAATCTTTTCTACATATTATAACCAAAAAATTGAATCTTTTCTACATATTATAACCAAAAAATTGAATCTTTTCTACATACTATAACCAAAAATTGAATCTTTTCTACATATTATAACCAAAAAATTGAATCTTTTCTACATATTATAACCAAAAAATTGAATCTTTTCTACATACTATAACCAAAAATTGAATCTTTTTTACATACTATAACCAAAAATTGAATCTTTTCTACATATTATAACCAAAAAATTGAATCTTTTCTACATACTATAACCAAAAATTGAATCTTTTTTACATACTATAACCAAAAATTGAATCTTTTCTACATATTATAACCAAAAATTGAATCTTTTCTACATACTATAACCAAAAAATTGAATCTTTTCTACATACTATAACCAAAAAATCGACTCTTTTCCACATACTATAAACCTAAATTGATCAATCCAACAAAGAGAAAACAAACCGAACCTCCACGATCGATGAGAACAAAAGTGGGCAACCGACCAGCCTTAGACTTGAAAGAAATATCGAAATCGCTGTAGCTCTTACAACCCTTCTGGTTCGATTTCGGATACACGACGGTTCCGACCAATGTACCACCGTACTGAGGAACTCCAAAGTTCCCAATGGCACATTCGTAAATACCTTTGATCGAATCAGGTGACGTGACTTTGAGGTTGTTCTTCTCCACGACGAATCTGCCATAGGCTAGAGTCCAGATCAGAAGAAAGGAGAGAATTAGAAACCCTAACTTCCCCTGATTCATGATTTTACAGAGGAGATTGATAGATGCAAGATGCGATTGTTAAAGGAGGAGAGAGAGGGGGTTAGGAGTTAACTTAAGGAAGGAAAGGAAAGGGTTTATTTAATAATTAAAGATTAGGTAATTAATTAAAGGATGAGAGGTTAATGGAATGGTTCTGCTTTGTCGGTTTCCGTAAATGTGGATAACAAAGATGTGTTTTAAAAAATTGGTTATGGATAGTAAAACGGGAAACACGTGTGTGTTGTTGTTATCTTTGTGATTAAGATCTTTATTAGATTCCAAGCTGTACTGAAAAAGATTACTCTTTAGCACAGACTCAGAGGGAGATAGACCCATATCTAGAGTTTTATTTTAAGTAACATTTCTTACCCACTACTTAGCTTGTTCACTGTCCTAATGAGTAAATAACTTTCAGATCTGAAGCACATTTATAATGCTGTGGTTTATATTTATATGATCATAATCTTTCACGATCTGAAGAATTATAACACATAATTAAGAAACAGTAAATAAATACATACGTGGTGGAAATATTGACGTTTGAAATGAGCCAAAAAAAAATGATTTTTTTTTTTTTTGTTAAAACCATTACTTCATTACTTCTTAATTCAAACAACAGAGTTTCTCAAACCCGAAGGTGAGTTAGAAAGTACAAACAAGGCGTTCTTTGCATTACAGTCTGCAGCCGTATTACAATCACGCGAGATGTACTTAAAGGAGATAGAGTGAAGGGACTTGGTCAACACGCAGATGTCGTGGAGCAGACCCTGGAGAGCGATAACAGACGAGTTCTCTGTGAGGAGGCCAACTAGATATCGTGAATCCGACAAGCATATCACGTCCTTGTACCCCAATGAGACAGCCTTTTCTAGGCCTGATTTTAGTGCCAATGCTTCAGCAACCAGAGCAGAGGCAACATAGCATCGAGAGGAGGCTCCCTGGAATTTTAAAATCCCTTGGGAGTCCTTTGCTACCCATCTCAATTCACTATCACACGTTGTGCTGTTCCAAGCAGCGTCAGAATATATGAGAAGTGAGTCATGGGATACCTGCGGGCATTGTAGAGGGTGGTTCGATTGAAAGTCTGTGGCCGAAACAAAGTTTGGTTTGATCGGTGGCTGAGCTGATTGCCATTCTTTTGCCAAGTTCATGGCTTTCATTATCATCTCTGATTCAGAAAAAGACTTGTCTTCGAAGCAATATTGATTCCTACTTGTCCACAGCACCCACATAATCCATGGGTGAATGGGTGTTGTCAGTCCAGTCGGAGGTAGAAGTACCATCCGCATACAATCCTTAAGAAGTTTATCCATTGAGGTACAAAATCATGGGTTTGGAACGAACATTGGAGGGACGAGATTCCATGTTCTTCTTGCTATTGGACAGGTAAACATGACATGGAAAACAGATTCAGATTCCCCACATCTCTTGCACTTTCCTTCCGTCAGAATTCCACGTTTCACTAAGGATTCACCAACCGCAAGAGCATTATTTTTCAGCTTCCAGAGGAAGTGTTTGATTTTAGGAGAGCACTTGACATTCCAGATACATTGCTTCCAGTTGAAGTCTGATGTGTTATCTTCACGGTTAACTTTGGCAAGTGCATAGCCTGATCTATTCGAGTATTTCCCAGACTTTTCTCCCAGCCAGACTCTTTCGTCTCTCATTGAAGCACTAGGGATGATCTTCCTGATCTGGACTTCATAAGAAGGTAGATGTAACCGAATCTGTTCCACATTCCAGTCAGCACCATCAGGGAGAAGGAGATCTTTTACTCGAAGGTTTTGCGCTTGAATATCTGGGGGGCCGATAGGACTAGTTTGTTGACTGGTGGAGAGCCAATTCTCGCGCCAAACATCCACTGATTCACCTTTTCCTATCACCCATCCCATTCCTCTTTTAATAATATCACGTCCTGCCAATATCCCTCTCCAGTCGTGGGAGGCGGAATTTGGGGCATGGCATTCAAGGAGGTTAACATCACGGCAGTATTTGTTGAGGAGTGTTTGTCCTAGGAGGGATTCCGGGTCTTTCAGCAATCTCCAAGTATGTTTAGCTAGTAAGGCATCATTGAAGTTTTCTATCTCTCTGAACCCTAAACCTCATGCGCTTTTTGGTCGGGTAAGCTTGTCCCATGAGACCCAACAAAGCTTTCTCAATTCAGGTTTCATATCCCACCAAAACCTTGTGAGGACAGCCTGTATTTGTTTGCAAAGCGATTTCGGTAGCTTAAAGCACGACATGGCATACGTCGGCATTGCAGCTAGCACCGATTTCAACATCACCATCTTTCCGGCACTGGACAGAAAGCTCGTCGTCCAGCCATGGGCTCGTTGTCTGACGATCAACAATTGAGGCAAAGATGTCCCTTTTCTTTCTTTCAAAGTGTTCCGGAAGTCCGAGGTACTTCCCAATACCACCTTCGCTGTTGATATTGAGGTCGCGTTTCACTCTTTCCTTAACCTCACTGTTCATTTTTGACGAGAACGTAATAGCTGATTTCAAACGGTTTATACGCTGACCGGAGGCTTGTTCATATTTGTTGAGAATCAAGCCTAGAGTAGAGCAACTCGAAAGGCTTGATTTCCCAAAAAACATGGTATCGTCTGCGAACAAGAGATAGTTGATAGGTGGACAATTATGTGCGACTTTGATTCATGGGAAGCTGTCATTTGCCAACGCATTGTTACACAGTCCCGACAGCACCTCGGTGCAAAGAATAAACAGATATGGGGATAACGGATCTCCTTGGCGGAGTCCTCTTGTAGGCCTCACATTACCTTGCGGACCACCATTTATCAGGAACGAGTAGGAGACATACGATACACATTCTAACACCCACGCTATCAAGGTCTCATGGAAACCAAGCCGCATTAGTACGAGACGTAAAAATTCCCACTCAATTCTGTCGTACGCTTTACTCATGTCCGTTTTAACCGCCATGGACACACGCTTTTGAGCGCCAGATTGACGTAAGAAGTGGAGCATCTCATGTGTGATTAGCACATTATCGGAAATAGCTCTTCCTGCTACGAACGCAGACTGCGAGGGAGAAATCAGCTTGTTCAATGGCGGTTTGAGTCTGCTTGAGAGTATCTTCGCCACAATCTTGTATTGTGTATTACACAAAGCGATATGCCGATAATCAGAAACTTTCTTTGCTCCGGTTATCTTAGGTATCAGCCTTATGTGTGTCTCATTAAGTCTCGGGGGAAGATGGCTAGATTCAAAGAATTGCCTAACATCCCGGAAAATATCATCACCAATTACATCCCAAAAAGCTTGGTAGAAACCGGCTGAGAAGCCATCTGGTCCCGGGGCCTTATCCGGGTGAATCGAGAAGACTGCAGTAGTAACTTCCGCCTTATCAGGTATAGCTATAAGGGGTAAGAGCTTAGTTGATTCATTTCAGGTGACACCTTAGGGGTAAGAGCTTAGTTGACCACAGTGCTGGCATCAGAATAACTTGTGGAAAAGAGATTGTGGTAGAAACCCACAAAGGCTTTAACAATCTGGTTTTCCTCATAGAAGGCTTTCCCTGTCTCATCTTCCACGATAGAAAATTTATTGCAAGCTCGACGACCCCTAGTTACTGCATGGAAGAAAGCTGAGTTCTTATCACCTTCACTTAGCCATTGAATCCTTCTGCGTTGGCACCAAAAGGATTCCTCTTCTTTGTATGCAGTGTCAAGTTTCAACTTAAGGTCGTTAATGAGTACATAGTTTGGGTTGACATCAGAGAGGGCCTGCTCAAGGAGATTCTGGTGAAAACATATCCACTCCTTGGTCGCAGCCGTCTGTATTTTTGTCCAGTCAACTAATCTCCTTCGAACCCGGTTTATCTTTGAAAGGACAGATTCTGCTTCAGAATTGTTGAGATTCCATGAATCTGTAACCAGAGTCCTAATCTCGGGGTTCTTGCTGAGGTTCCTATCATAGCGAAACATTCTTTTTTTCTTGTTAAGATGTAGATCAAAGTGAGTAAGGAGAGGCCGGTGATTAGAGCCTTCGAAACGGAGGTACTCACTTCGTGTCGCTGGGAACATCTCCATCCAGTCCAAGTTTGCCATTGATCTGTCTAATCGGGACTGAATGAAATGCGAGTATCGGGTACCTCGCCACGAGAGGGAGTTACCAGAAAACTGGACGTCTCAGAGCCTATTATGCGATACAAAGTTCCTGAAAGATAGGAACGAGCCTTCCCATCCCAAAGGCCCTCCCACTTTTTCATCATTGTTCAGCAAATCATTAAAATCGCCGGTGATCAGCCATGGCGAAGTACGCTGCACTCCAAAGTCAGCCATGAATTCCCAAAATTTTAGGGCGGTCTTCTCTATTAGGGACACCATAAATATACAATACAAAAAAAATTTTATTGTTGAACACAATTTTTTGTATCGATTACATTTGGTGAGGCCATTAAGATTTCCAACTCCACATTTTCTTTCCAGGATAAGGCTAGTCCGCCGTTGAGCCCAATTGGCGGAACTGTAAAGTGATTTTTGAAATCAGTGCCTCTATACATCCTTTAGACTTCCTCATCTTGTCTTTCCATCAAGAACATTATGTCGGGGGAATTTTTGGAGCGAAATTCCCGTAGACGTCGAATTGTCAGGTTGCTCCCGATACCTTGACAGTTCCAGCTCAGATTTACTAAGGAAGAGGTTTTCGAGCGGACCGAAAATTCGTTCCTTTCTTCTTGGAGGGTGGTATGATCGTTGTTCGAGGTTGGTAGCTCCATGTCATACTGAGGCTAAATCGGAGTTACTAGCATCGGACATGAGTTTCTCCTTTGAATTGTTTTATTGTCTTACCACCTTCCTTCTCTTTAGACTAACACCCTGCCTTGGGCTTCTAACAACACGTTTCTTGGTTGGAATGAAAGTACATTTACCCTTCTCTGCTCGAGAGATAGTAGAAGCTAGTCTTTTGTGTGCTGAGGTATTCTTTGGGATGATAATCTCTTCCTCTATATCACTTCCCGGTAAAGGTCCCAATCTTAGGGAGACATGAAGTCTGTCCTCACTCAGGGATCGTATTGGAGATCGATCCTGGCTTGGATTGTACCCTGGGATTCCCAGGATAAGGTTGCGGGAGCTAGAGGGTATACTTTTGACAGTAGATTGCAAGGGAAGTGTCTCCTCCAAGTATTGAATATCAACTTCTTGTAACCTCCCTGAATCTGCGTTTGCAACTCCGTCTTGTAAGAGAGGGACTCTTTCTAGAGGTAGAGAGAGTCTGTTTAGTGCAGAAAGTCTTTCATACGATGGAGCACTTCCCTCGTTTGATTTTTGTCTTGTTTCCTGAGATCCAACTTGTTGCAGAGAGTCTCTCTCCCGCTGAGGACGAGGAGAAGGGGTATGGGAGACTTGGGAGTTGATAGATCTTGAGGTCGTCTCCATGTGGAAGCCCCTTATAATAGGTCTCCATTCATTCCTTTGTCTTATATTGTCACTTCGGGTTCGAAGTCCTCCTTGAGAGGCCGTAGAACTTCCTTTGGAGAAGGATAGTCTTGCCTTAGCCGAAGGACGTTCCCTGGAGATATTAGTACCGTGGCTGGTAGCTTGATGGTAGGGATCATGTCTAGCTCCATAAGTGAATCGGAAATTTTTCTCGTGTCCCCAATCTGCCTCCCAGGTGGGTTCTCTCTCTGGAACCTTCTGCCAAGGTCTGGAGTTAGAATGTACTGGATTGGGATATTGTGAGGAGGACCTCGCAATTTTCTTTTCCGTCTGTCTTCTCCGATCCGCATCCAGACGTTCCTTAGTTCGAGTCTGAGAGATACCCATATTTGTGGTAGTTGGGTTCCTGAGGGATTGACGGGAGGGGCATTCTTCCTTTTCATGGGAGAGTGAGAAGCACACAAAGCAGTGTTTCTGCAGATTCTCATACTCAAGCTCTACTTGTTTTAGTTCTCCAGAGGGGCAACTTATATCCAACGTCATCTCCAACGGTTTGAGATCGTTTATAATAACTCTGATTCGTCCTTGTTCTACGTCATAACCCTAGACCGGTCCCAATTCATTTCCAATTGTGTCTAGAGCCTCTTCTGTCCAGAGATGGAGAGGAAGTCCATGGATTGTTATCCAGAATGGGATGAGAGCCGGGAAGAAGTCAGAGATGATAGGTTCCCAACGTTGTAAGATCATCATCCATCGTTTGAAATGGAAGGGAGCCTGGGAGAGGATCTGTTGCAGATCTGATTCAGAGTCAAATTTAAACTGGAACATGTTTGGTCCAAGGGCACGACCTGTAATAGTACCGGTAACCTTCCAGTGTTGAAGAAAGAAGTCAACCAGAGCTCTGGTTTTCTGAATATTTGGATTTGTTACTCGACCAATCAGAGTGAGTATGTTTTCCTCAATTAAACCTCTACTGTCGGGCGCAGGGATTTTCACAGGTGGTCTTCGAGTCTTCCGTGGTGGGTCATGATGAACAGTGTGCCATTAAGACAGTCTGATAACTCGTGAAATAACCGCAGAGAAGAAACGGTATAAACCCTAAACCAGGTAAGTCCTTAGTAACAAGGTAAAAACTGTACTACACAGTAAAGATTCGAAATAAATGCAGCAGACTCTTAGGAAATGTTCCCTGGGAGGGAGATAATCTTAAAGTCTTGGCATTTATAGTAGCATTTTTCTTTCCAGATCTGCATCAATTGGGTCATTGGACCGCTGATTTGAGACCGTCAAGGAGAAGCCCTGACTCTAGAGAGTCGAGGAAGAGCTTAAAAACTTTCACCGGAAAGTAGGTGCGGCGGTGAACAGTGGTCCGGCCGGTGGAAAGAGTTGGGTTGCGGTGGATATCGGTAAGAAGTCAACAATCACCAGTAATCTCGTACTTCGTGCCAAAGAGAATTTCAAAAAGTATCTTTTTTTAAAACAACCTGTATCTTCAAAAAAAAAAAAAGAATTAAGATAGAGAATAAAACAAATATATTATCCGGACAGAAGTATAAGTTTGTGGTCTCTTCTACATATAACTTGTACTAATGCCATAAAGATGATACATATAATAAGTCATGTGGATAAGATTTAGAGCAAAAAAGAATAAGAACATGATATACAAGTTTTATTTGTCTCAGTTATCTTTGAGAAGATTGGCCACAGTTACTGAGACATTTCTCGCTGTAAGTTCCAGCATATTTGCAGCGACCAAAGTTCATACCATATAATTATATAAATACATAGTCCACTACTAAAGCTTGATAAGAATGCCTTGAGATGCGTTAATTTTATAACTAAAATTGGTATAGGCTTAGAATTTTCACATATGAGAGTCTTGGGCTTGTAACGTCTCATTTTGGGTTGATATCTAATAGTTTTCGTTATAGGTGATTTAATGGGCCTGTAGATTCTCAGATTACCCAACCCATATGAACTATTGCATCATAAAAAAAATATGGCATTCTTGTACATCGTAGTAGGAAGACGTTTTAAATTTGCTAAAGCTTTTTTAACAATTAGTAGTTCCGTACTAAGAACAAAATGAATATTGTATATTTAGAAATATGAAAATAATGGAATTAAATAGTGTTAATTAAAGGCTTATTTTTCTTTTAAAGAATGTTAAATTAATTCAACCGAAAAAATCGTTTTTACATTTACTACATTACTGAATCAAAATTTGTATTGAAAAAGAAACTCAAAAGCTCCTAATCTTTATCTTGTTTCAAGCCATCTTGCTAGCCCTCATAGTTATGGCCATACATTCCCTGGAATGAAGCAAGCATGTTGTGAACCCTTTTGTCAATCAATAAGATCAGCTGCGTAGTTAGCGTAGAAGCTTCCCCATGCTTCCGTTGGTTGCGTTCCCTCCATATAGTCAAAGTTTATAGAAATGTGGAGTGGAGCGAAACAATGGTATATGCTATTTTTGATTCCAACGTCCGTACACGGCTTATCTACTAGAATACGTAACACTAAACACATAGATCAATCAATTTATTTTCATATTTTTCATGGACTTGGGAAAGATCCATAAAGCATATCCGTTTGTGCCATATTAACTAAGCAACGTGGCCACATGACATAACACGTTCTACATCTGCTCACGTTCCATCAGATTACTTGTTATACTCTTTCTTCTCTTCCTAACTTGTTTATCGTTTGACACGTGGTCGTCACCTTTGTGAATAAATATTCTCGCCGTTGGTTACGAAACACATTGGATGAAATTTTGACGTGCCGTGCTCAGACACGAGTATCCAAATTAAGGTTTGAAGTCGGCCAAATACAAAAAAAAAACAAAAATTAAAAACATTATAGTAAAGTCTAATAGTACATAAAAGTTATGTTGAATGGTACCTTACCACTCGCACATATGTGTGGTCTTGAGTTCTCTATCACTCACCAGTCGACGTTAGAACATAAAAATGGTCCCCTTTCTTCATTTCTCTCTCTTTTGTATTACCCTTATTATATTAGTACCTTTACCAAAATATATCTAGATAGTATATATTGTTCTTAAAGGTAATCATCATTTCAAACTCGATCATAAATCTTAACTGATACTTTTTTCTTCAATGGTATACAACTAAACGCAAAACATATGTTAATTGTTCACAATAAAGACACATCTGTTAATTAATCACGGTCTTAGCGATGTTGTTACAGATTAAATTGCCATCAATACGTGTTAGTACAGATATATATATATACGACTATATGGATGACACTATATTTAAGGGAATATATATATATATATCCTCATGTGAAACATCTCATTCTTTATTACTTCCTTGGGTCTAGTTCTTTAAGGTTACGGAAACCTCATAATCAAACAATTTAAGCATTGACTTTTTAACTATTTTTTGTTAATTGATGGAAAGATAAAGGAAGCTGCAAGCAAAACTAACAAAAGGTATATATGATTTTAAAAAGACTTTATAAAAGGAAATGAAGTAACTTGACGCTTTGGCTAAAGAGACGTATAAAGTAGTCACACACCTGAATTCATTCATCTATCTCTTCAATAACAATCCATTCATCTTCACCAAACTTCAACTCTTTAGACAATAAGATGAAAGTTTTTGGTCTCTTTATTAGTTTTACTCTTTTGTTCCTCTGTCCCTTCTTGTCTCAAGCTGATGTGCCGGAACTCAGCCGCGAGCCGCCTCGTCCCATTGTCTTTGTCCCTCATGACCGCTCTAAATCCGATCCACAACAGGTTCTTTGATATAACTTTCTTTCTCAACAGCTTCATATCATGCTTAGTGCACAGCATTTTCTGTGTTTGGAATTCCTAAGATTTTCATCCTGGATTTTTAACTGGTCAATGCATTTGTATTTAGGTAGATTGATTCCTTTCTCACCTTTGTTATGTTCTTCAAACATCACAAATATATTTTAGAAATTATAAAAAAACCCCATTATGTAGTTGAATTTGTCATTGCATATTTTTAATTTTTACCAATCTACATTATCTATATCCCTTTATTGAATCCCAACTTTGTGCGAGACAAGATGTTACTTATTTTCGGTTTTATGTCTATGTTCTTGTCTTAATTAATTAGTGAATATATTAAAGTAATCTATCACATATTATTTCCTTTCTTTTGCAACATTTCACATGTTCATCCTCAGTATTCTACTAGTTTTTACGACATAGGTCCCAATTACATTGTTGACTTTACCGTCATCTCAATAGGTTTCACCTTTGTTTGACACAAGATCATACTTTGTTTTCTCTGTTAGAACTTACAGAAAATATTCAAAAGTTTTCTATGTTTCTAAAGCCTTGTGTTGGTATTAAAATTTTGATAAATTAAAGGTGCATGTATCACTGGCGGGTAAGGACCACATGAAAGTAACATACATAACGGAAGACAAGAAAGTGGAGTCGGTGGTGGAATACGGTAAGACCTCGGGAAAGTACGATGTAAAAACTACCGGAGAATCCACTTCTTACAAATACTTCTTCTACAGTTCCGGCAAGATCCACCACGTCAAGATCGGACCTCTAGAACCCAGTACCACTTACTATTACAAGTGCGGCTACAACGGTCCTGAGTTTTCGTTCAAGACTCCTCCGTCATCTTTCCCGGTTGAGTTCGCCATAGTTGGTACATTCCATAAACTTCTCTTACAGTTTTCTATCGGCTATATTTTGGAATTGGAGACATTAATAGAGCAACGATAGTAAAAGTGGTAAATATGATTTATAGTAATATAGTCTAAGCATAAATATAGAACTCTTTTTCTTAAAAAAGTGTTTTGACTAAATTTTTACAAATTCAAATTTATGAACTTAACGTAATAACACAATAACCGTGCAAGAAGGGTACGTATATGTTACTATTTTACTAATTAATTATATAACTTCTGTAATCTATTTTTTTTCCAAAACTTCTGTAATCTATTATTAATATTATTATATACATAATTAATATTTGAACTAAAAAGCAATCAAGTTTCAAAAAAAAAACCTATAAAAGCATATAACTTTTCATTTATATATATATAATCATGTTTAAGTAGAAAAAACAAGAATATTCATGGATATAAAATTTGGTTGAGCAGAAATCTAAAAGTCAATCCATAAGGAGTTGGGTTAGGGTTAATACATTTTCACACTGTATTAGTCTATTATATAAGTTGAGTTCCGGTTCATACCGGTTAAGGACCACATTTCATGAGTACTTATGAAATACGGTTTTTATGTCAAATTGAAGGCGACCTAGGCCAAACCGAATGGACAGCAGCAACATTAGCTCAGATAAAGAGCCAAGACTACGACGTCTTTCTACTACCGGGTGACCTCTCCTACGCCGACACTAACCAACCACTTTGGGACTCCTTTGGCCGCCTGGTTGAGCCACTTGCGAGCAAGCGTCCTTGGATGGTAACACAGGGAAACCACGAGATTGAATTCTTCCCAATCATTGAACACACAACCTTCAAGTCATACAACTCCCGGTGGCTCATGCCTTATGCAGAGAGCCTCTCTGAGTCCAACCTTTACTACTCTTTTGATGTTGCTGGTGTCCACACGATTATGCTCGGTTCTTACACCGACTTTGACTCTGATTCCGATCAGTATCAGTGGCTCCAAGCTGATTTGGCAAAGGTTAGTTGGGAGATTATGCAATGCCTAGTACACAATCATTTATTGTTTTCACAAAAAATGTCTTTTCGAAAATTATCTTTGATCCAACAATATTTTATCGAATTACAGGTAATATTTATTATTTAGCCAACGTAATGAATTCAAATTCAAATCATAATAATTTGTTTAAGATTATATTCATGAGAAAAATTGGTATATATATTATTTTATTTTTAAAATGTTTGTAAATAAACTAATGAAAAGAAAAAAAATACCTAACTTCACATCATTTCAAACTTTATAATATGGATTATTTTTTACTAAATTTGTTTTTATACCATTTCAAAGGTTGACCGGAAAACGACACCGTGGGTGATAGTGTTGCTACACGCGCCTTGGTACAACACAAACGAGGCGCATGAAGGTGAAGGAGAGAGCATGAGGGAAGCTATGGAGTCTTTGCTCTATAATGCTCGCGTCGACGTCGTTTTTGCCGGCCATGTTCATGCCTACGAACGTTTCGTAAGTACCCATCTTCATTTTTCAAATAAAGATAATTATTTAACTTATATTAAAGGAGAATTGTGAATTTGTGATTGATGCAGAAGCGGGTATATAACAACAAGGTTGATCAGTGTGGGCCTATATACATAACCATCGGTGACGGAGGCAACCGAGAAGGCCTTGCTACAAAGTATGTCACCTTCTATCATTTCATCTAAAGTTTAATCTCATATTGTTTTTTTTTTTATGGTTTTTAACTTTTCATATTTTTGTCACTCGAATTACAGGTTTAAGAAGCCTCCTTCCCCTTTATCGGCATTCCGGGAATCGAGTTTTGGACATGGGAGACTAAAGGTTATAGATGGAAAACGAGCACAATGGTCGTGGCATAGAAACAATGACTCGAACACAGTTCTTGCTGATGAAGTCTGGCTCGAGAGTCTTAGTTCATCATCATCATGTTGGACTTCAAGGGAATCCAATGATGAGCTCTAGATCATCATACCAGCTGACATTTTACTCTTTGTTTTTCCTTTGATCGTTCGTAGAAGAAAAAGAAGAACTACACACATTCATTTGTTATAAGATCACATTCTTATAAGACATTTTGTATTTGGGAATTTATTGGGAGTTTATGTTCAAGTATTGCCTGCTTATGTTTTAGGTTATAACATTGTTAGTTTGTAAGATAGATGGGTGATTGTCATATACTGGACTTATCTTTACACGTTACTTCGTTTCTCTGAATTTGTTACTTAATTTGTAAGACTGTTGGTTAGTATTTTTGCTGGTTTAAACTAATAGTGTGGTAACCAAAAAACCAAGGACTGATCAAGTTAGACTCACGCTTTTCCTGCTTAGTATTCAACATTATCACTTCTTAATATTTTAACAAAAAGAGTAATAATCTAAGCTAAGCACCCTTGGCGGCTTGACGATGTTACAAGACGTTCTTTCATTTTATATCTTGTAATTAGAACTAGGATAAGACCCGCGCCTTGCGCGGGATGAAGCTATTATTTTTATTATGTTTTGAAAAATGAAACAATAGTTCGGTTTCATTCGGATTATAGGTGCTCAATTCGGATATCGGGTTTCGGTTCGGCCCAATTTTTTGTCCGATTTTTTGGTATTTCGATCATTAAAATATAACTACTATTCTAAATCTATATGTACTACAGTTTGATTTGGTTTATCTATCATCGGTTTTCAGTTTATTCAATTTTATACCAAAAAACATAATTATTTAGTTTGAGATCATATTATATATTATACAAATATATAATATGATCATATTTAGAGTCATATTGCCACAGGGTCATTTATTAAAAAATATTATATATTTAAATAAAAGAAAAAAACAAAAAGGCTTCTATCATCTAATAAAATGATCAAATCTAGAATTAATATCAAAACACTAAATTTTGAAAAAAAAAAAACAGAAGCATGAAAGAAAAGTTTTTATATTCTTCCATATTTAGTGTTCATCAAACCAATATGTCTTTGATTGAACACAACTCTGTTTGTTTAAAGATAAAAAAAAATTGTAAAGAATTTCAACTAATTGTTGTCCATCAAATTTATAATCTTTACTTCAATTTAGTTACTGTTAAAAAAGCAAAAGATNAAAAAAAAACAGAAGCATGAAAGAAAAGTTTTTATATTCTTCCATATTTAGTGTTCATCAAACCAATATGTCTTTGATTGAACACAACTCTGTTTGTTTAAAGATAAAAAAAAATTGTAAAGAATTTCAACTAATTGTTGTCCATCAAATTTATAATCTTTACTTCAATTTAGTTACTGTTAAAAAAGCAAAAGATCAAAATAAGAAGTCTCAGTTGTAATAAATTGTTAGCTATTTACAAAATATAATTATAATTCAACTCATGTAACAAATAGATATTAATGTGTCGTTATAAATATATACATATTTACATGTTTCAGTTTAATCGATTATAAATCAACCATATCCAAATCCTATGGTTTTTATAAAATCACATCCATTCGGTTTGTAAGGTATATACCAAAACTAACCATATTATCGATTGTTAATATCTTTTAAAAATATAAAATTAAAAAAGAACTAAGATATTTAAATCATTGATAACAAAAATTTTCAATGTGAAAAAATTAATAAGTTTATAATTTATAAATGTTCTTGAAAATTTATTGAAAATTTTGAAATTAAAATATTTATGTAATTTTATATGGTATATAGTTTAATCTGTATATATATTTGTTTTATTATTGAATGATACTTTTACTTATATGGTTTTAAAATCATGTATATCTTTTTATAATAAAAATGTTAAACTATTGATCATTAATTTTTAACATAATAATTTTAATAGTTTAGTTATTTAATATAACGATAATAGTGGAAGATTGGTGTCTTCGTGATGAATTAAAGTAGAAATGTGTGTTACGTAACTTTTGTGATCATACCATCTTTTTCTTTCTCAAATACAACACGTAACGATGATATATATGTAATGCATGCATATAACCTATATAACCTATACATCAAAACTTATACGAAAAAATCGAAAGTTTAAAGAATATAATTGGGTTTTGTCTTAGTTTAAAGAATATTTTGATATAAAATCAGTTCACCAAAATTTGTGGTGATGATTATTTTTCATTAGTTTTTAGTTTCAGTTTTTATTTTTAGATTTTGGTTTTTTGTTTTTAGTTTTTAAGTTTCTACTTTTCATTTTCAGTTTTTGGTTTGGGTTTTTAATTTTTAAACCCGCTAAGTTGGTTTGAACTAATATTACCAACAAACAAATCTCAAATAATCGAACATCTAATTCAAAACTGAAAAGATGACAACAAATTAAAAAAAAAAATTTGAAATAGTTTATTTTGTAAATAAACAAAGCAAAAAAATATAACACGTGTTTTCAGCTTTTGGTTTTGAATTTTAGTTTTTAGATTTGGTTTTTGGTTTTGCTTTACATTTTTTTAATCAGTAAATTATTTAAGAAAAATAAAACAATAAATTATTTAAAAGTTACCATTGAAATTTATCAAAACAAAGTGATTGTTATTTAGAATAAAAAAAATATCTTAACATGTTTTAAATTACATGATTTAAATAAATGATTAATAATAGATATTTTTATTTTGTTAAAAATATTAAATACCTTTTGGGTCTGAAAATAATAATTGATTTTTTGATCTTTTAAGGTTATAAGTTTATTCAATGTTTTTAGAGTTTTTTTCTTAATACTAAGCCCAAAAACTAAACTATATAATTTGTTTAAAAAAATAAAAGTAAGCCCAAGACTATATTCCATAAATAACCACTGGTTTAATTTAAATATAATTAGTAGATTTTCATATTCCATATTTTGATGATATATATTTTTTTAGAACATTCCATATT